AACCCTAAACCCCCAAACCCCTAATCTCTGTACTAAACCCTAAACTCCAAGCCCAAAGCCCCTAAACCCTAAAAACCCGAACCTCATGGCAGTGAGCTCCTGGCCAGCCCCGTGGGCGGCGAGTCGGGGGAATCCGCTTGAGGCCAATGCATGACCTTGCCGACTACGTAAGACCCGCAGAAGACTTGGATTTAAGCACCCTAACGTAGGGGCCTTAAGAATTAGAACAGGGTTGACCAGGGTTTTGGGCTCCTGTGTGTTGCATCCTAGGAATAGTGTTGATGACTGCTTCGGCCTTTGAGGGTCTGATCGAAAAACTGATAGAACCATGGGCTTAGCTTCTACAGAACCGTGAGCACTTGACTCTGCGCCTCCAGCATCTGCGAGGTCTTGGAGCCAGGAGCCTGCAACCGTCCGAGACCGAAGAAGGCAATGAATGTTTATGGGACAAGAAGGCTTTCGCTGACACCATTTAGGGCTTGATGTGTTTAGGGTTTAGATTTAGACATTCGTGGTGGCTGCTGAGGTGCTGGGGTCTGGGCTTTGTAGGGTTTTGTTATCTCGTCATTAGTCGCTTTACTGCTTGAATTCAATGCTGCAGTTTACACCGATATTGCTGCCATGATGTTTTTCTGGCTTTGTGATGCCTTCGGTGCTTGCCGTCATAACTCCATTATTCTCTATATGTGTATGATGAAAATGGGGCGGCTCTGACACCGGCAACAAGCCTCATCATAAAAGCAAACCTTAAACCCTAAACCGCTAAGCTAATCACAAAACCCTAAACCCTAAACCCCAGCTCTTGAAACATGTCGTCTTCGACGATGCAGCGGTCAAGCCGGCCGGGCAGACCGCACAAAGATCCAGCACCAGATGATGTGGCTCGACGCCTGACAAAACCCCCAACCCTAAACCCTAAACGCCCTAAACATCCGAATGATAGACAGAGGGAACTCAAGCAAGGAATCTGGCTCACAGTCTTCTTCCCACCCGTACCGGTAGCATATTCACCTCGCCTGCAGTGGCTGAACTTGATCTTTTAGGCAGCCCCTGGCCTAGAAACAGCGGAGGCAGCATGCTGACCACCTGGAGACAAGCTGTCTACACAGGCGAACCGTGACAGATGTTGAACTGTTGTCCTGCTCAGAAGTGATACCGAAGATGTGCAGTTGTTGATTTTGCAGATGCGGTCAGTCTGTCCGCTCTTCGAGCCCGCGTGGGACCACTATTGACTGGGAACGATGCACCACTATATTGACTGGGAACGATGGGTGAGGCAAAATGGTTGGTGCTGATTAACAGAAGGTGTAGATGTAGAACCATATTATTGACGCATGAGGCTTCGCGACGACTAGACCCGATGCTCTACCTAGCTTAGGGTTGAGGGCTTAGGGAAATGCGATATCCCACCAACGCCAAGTCTCTGCACTGAAACCTCTGAGGCCTTTGACCCGACCACCCTAATTGAAGCCTCTGCTTCCACTCCTCGTAGCCTACGAAGCCACGGACTCTCAGGCGAAGGGTCTTTGCCCCGGGGAGCCATAGGCATAAGGCTTGCTCCCCACGAGGAGGTCCGGCCTGACAGTAGGACACGCCCCCCTCAACCTAAGTCTTACCTATAGGCTCCAATGTAGCTCCTTTCTGGGAGCAAATCAACTCTAAACCTTAAACGACAGCCCTTCAAGCAGCTAAGCCGTGAACCCTAAACCACGATATACATCGTTGTTGTGGCCTTCGCTTCGAACAGGCTGGAGGGTTTTACTGGCACATTTAGGGTTTCGCCGGTCTAGCGTTTCATATAGGGGCGCTTATTATTAGAACAGCGTTTTGGTGTATCTGATAGTATAAATATAATAGGGAACCCCCAAGATAATATTGGCAACTACCTCGGCCCCTGTACCAGGTCTAGAGTGAGACAGGAAGTCCAAAGCACTCTAGGATTTCAGGGCGCAGATATTCCAAGAGGTTCACACTTTCAGAGTACTGCCTTGGAGGATCCAGGGACTGCGTAAGTCAGGTTATAAGTACCCCCAAGTGGGGTGATAAAACAAACGAGCTTAACCCCAAAAACCTACGTTATTGAGGACTTGTAATGCCGAGAAATTATAACCTGACGCCCTGAAAACGTAGGTTCTTTAGGTTCAGGTATAGCTACCCTGGCCCCAGTTGCTTACAGCCATGCTCCGTTAAGTACAGTCTGCAGGTTTGTTCTTATTGCTATTACTATGATTATAATTATCACTACAATTCTTCTAACGTTTACTCATTTACTCCTCTGCAGTCTTCTTATTCTTAATGGCTTTGCAGCGTCTTGCTTCGGGGCAGGGTCTTGGGGTTACGTGTTGGGATTAGGGGGGTTTGGGGTTTCAGAGTAGGGGTTTAGGCTTGAGAGCTTTAGGTTTTAGGTTTTAGGGTTTAGGGTTTCGGGCTATAGGGTGCTAGGGTTTGGGGGGTTTGGGATTTTAAGTTTTAGGGTTTAGGGTTTTAGGGTTTGGGGTTTAGGTTTAGGGTTATTGGCTCAGGCAGGTTAAGCATTAGGTCTTGGCAAGTTTGGTTGGGGGCCGCGACATGTACAAGCAAGAAGTGATTATAACAAAACTAGTTGAAGGCAGAAGTGTTATAGTTGCCTGTAGAATCATGTGCAAATCAACTACACCGTGCCCAGTGCAAACAAGCCTATCCAAGCGAGAAGTGTTGCAAGTGGCTTCTAAGCCTCCCTCGCCTCTGTGTACTAAATCGCACAATCCGAACTTCGGACACTAGTTCGACCAGGTGGCATGCCGGCGTACACTTGCCATTGTCAGTGTTCAGGGTGGAGTGGCGAAAACTTAAGGCGTGTAACCTTGAGGGCTTAGGTGGGTATGGGTCTCACATTCAGTTCCATTCTCAGTCCCGATGCAACTCTTCGAAAGACCCTGGACAGAAGTCTTGGCATCACAGGCCCGAGCATGCGTTGGAAGCGCACGAAACCACCAACATTGTGCACGAGTAAATGCTCATAGCATGCCCTCATATTCCCTATAAGAAAACACGGCTCTACCTATTAAAGCCCGTGTCTTGCAGCTAACAGTACCAAGTTTCTGGGCCCCTGACGAGCCACCTCTACCCAGCCAAGCAAAGCGCCAGGCAGCGAAGGTCAGGAAGATAAGGGAGACCTGGGAAAGGCTTTGGAAGGTGTCGAAAAAACATCTCAAAAGATGCATCCTACCGTTGCTGCACTCTCACGGGTCACAGTTCAGGTTCTGGTCATCATTTACCGAAGATAGCCCTATGTGTAGACACTTCCATTGATGATGCAGCATCTTTTCCAAGCCCGTCACTGTTTGATGCCTGACATGTCCTATGCGTAGACACTTCCATTGATGACGCAGCATCTTTTTCCAAGCCCGTCACTGTTTGATGCCTGACATGTCATCGTAGAAGTGCCTAAGAAAACGCGACCTTGAACAGGGTTAGGGTGCGGGCGCGACATGACCTGATCAGGACATTACAGTATTGGCAGATGGCACGCTTGGAAGGACGATGCCGGAAAGGCGAGACCTACTATAGATTCAGGTGTCCATATTCTATCATATTAGGGCTTTCATTTGTCTCGCATGGCACAACTGTGCAGGCTGGGGCAGCGGCCACGAATGCAGAGGCCACGCAGAAGAGAAAGTTCTTAAAGGCCTGCATTGCCCATCCGGAGACCTGATCCGGGTTCAGGTGTAGGGGTGTGTAGGGGTTTCGGGTTTTAGGGCTTGGGGCCTATAGGGTTTAGGGTGCAGGGCTTATAGGGTACAGGGTGTGGGGTTTCGGGGTTTAGGGCTTAGGGTTTAGGGTACAGGGTAGGGTTTCGGGTCTCGGGGCTTTGCTCACGAAGGCTGGGATGTATGGCTTGTGGTTTAAGGGGTTTGAGGAACCTGGGTCCAGCACGTAACTGAACTGCATAGCGCAGTCTGCGTCATCTACTTGTCAACTTGCGGCGTCATGCTCATTGCTGCTAGAACTTGGCAAAGGGTTTAGGGTTTAGAGTTTGGGGTTTCCCTCAACCCTACCCTAGAACCCGTGTTCTGTCACGTTGGATTCTTTCACGGCCCCGGCGTCGTTCTCTCTCCATCTTGCACACAGACCCATCATTGTGGCCAGGCCGGAGCAGGGGAGAGCGATAAATCAAAGAGCGACCTCAGCGGTGAGAACAGGACGAAGCATCGTCCTATATACACAGTTGCCAAATCCTAACCCCTCGCTCGGCCCGTGCTTAGGAAGTCATTGGTGCAAGCAGTTGAGCCACCACGGGCTGCCGCGCGAAAAAAAAAAAAACAATACCAAACACAGGCTCGACGTGAAGATGAGAAATCCGGGGTAGCCTGACCTCGGCATGCCAATTTCCTATTTTTGCTCTTCTTAAGTTTTACTCGCCTGTTTTCCTCGTCCAAAGAACACCGAATCCAAAAGCTGAGGGGCTGGATTTGGTAATATAGGGGCCTTAAGAATTAGAATAGTGTTTGGGGTATATTCTACTATATTTGTAATAAGGAACCTCCAAAACCCTATTCTAATTATGAAGGCCCCTACCTTAGCGGCGCATGGAAAGACACCTGGGGACCATCGAGCCGGCGACCTTTCCCAACTACCCACCGCGCCATGGCTTTCTTACTTCCCCAATAAAGGGTTTAGGGTTTAGGGTTTCAATAAGCCAGGGAAATAGAGGGTTAAATTTTCTACTAAGTTTTAAGGACACAAAAAAGGTAAAGGTTGGGTATTGGAGAACTAAGCTGACTTGAGGCATCAGAGACTTTTCGTAAACCTTCAATCACGGAAACCATGTTGTCGATAAAAAAGTGTGCTGCAAAATTAAGAAATCCAGGATACCCTCACTCAACAATAACTGTTGCTTAAGCGGCGCTGTCGCTGTAACTAACACCAGCTAGTAAGGAGGAGGACGAGGAGGAGGAGGAGCAACAGCAGTACTGCTTCTCAACCCAAATCCTAGCCCATGAACTCTCTACTCGGCATCGCCACAATCGCGGGTGCCTCTGCTTCCGGGTCGTTTGACCACTTGAAGAAGACCGGATTGGCAGCCACAACCTGGATGAGAAGGATCAAGACAGCAATGTGCATTGAGAACTCGTGGTGTTAGGCGTGTAGACTCAGTGTAGAGTTTAGAGGATTTAGAGGAGCTTCGGTGTTAGGAATATTTGGGGCTCAGAGTTCAGGGGGAGAGTGGAGGAGCTTCGGGGTTTAGGTAGGGCTTCGGGGGCTTTCGCAGCTGAAGCCTTCGTGAGCTCTGTGGCACACTGAGACTGAGCGCGGCACTCCGTAAAGAGTCTCCGCCTGGCTTGGGCACGTGACAGATTCTCGGAGAAGTGCGATATGTATGTGTATAATATATAAATATATAGCTGTATAGCACCCCAAAAGCCCTTCGCCCCCGACATTTTC